GTGTTGAGAGTGAGACGCCTCAACATGCGACCTTGTGAAGTGCCGAGAGTCCTGGTCAATGCTTATCAACCGCTCTGCATCTCGGTGCATCCCTGTCTGTTGTGCATCTTGCTCCTCTCGCGGGCTGCCTGGGACCAGGAGAGGCCGAAACACCGACGAGTGGGTCCGGGAGACCAACGAGTGGGCCCGGGGCACAAGCCCCTCTCTTCGCCCACCATCCCTGCCAACTCCCTCTCTTCCTCTCTCATTTCCATGCAAATCCCGAAACCTTCCTTCCTGAGACGCATCAGAAACAGAGGAAGGGAAACCAGGCCCGTCCCTGCTTCCCCTGCCAAACCCAGTTCTCTGGTTTGAGCTCTGTAACACACGCACTGCTTCCTCTTCCCCCAACCTCTCCCCCCCTTGGTTGTCAGCCGGATAGGAGATGGAGGAAGAGGGGGAGATTCTGGGGGAACGTGTGGGGAATCGGGGGGGCTTGGATGGGGAGATGGGGGGAGGATTGGGGGAAGGGTCAGGGGGGATGAGACAGGGGAAGGTGGGGGAGTGGCAGGGGGAGGCAGGGGTATGGAAGGAAGAGGCGGAAGGATCAGTGGGGATGAGACAGGGGAAGGTGGGGGAATGGCAGGGGGAGGCGGGGGTATGGGGGGAAGAGGCGGAAGGGTCTGGTTGAGTCTGGGGTGTGGTAAGTGGAGGTGGGCGGCGGGGGAAATTGGATGGGGAGAGCTTGTACTGGCGGAAGGGCGGGGGGGAAGGAGAAGGCAGGGGCGCATGGTGGGAGGTCGGGGGTGCTAGGGTGGGTGGGGAAAGGGTGAGGGAAGGGGAGCGGGAAGGGGAGCGCGAGAAGGAGGGGGAAGGGGAGGGGGTAGGGGATGTGGTGGGAGTTTTGCTTGGGGGATAGCTGTGTACGGTTCCAGGGGCGGACTTGGAACGAGTTATGGTGGAAAGGTGAGTGGCGGAAGGGGAGGTGGGGGAAGGGGGAGTGGCGGAAGGGGAAACGGCGGGAGGGGGAGTGGCGGAAGGGGGAGTGGCGGACCCAGGGGCACAGCTGCGTACGGTTCCAGGGGCGGACTTGGAACGAGTTATGTCAGAAAGGTGAGTGGCGGAAGGGGAAGTGGCGGAAGGGGGAGTGGCGGAAGGGGGAGTGGCGGAAGGGGATGTGGCAGGGGTTTTGCTTGGGGGACAGCTGCGTACGATCCCAGGGGCGGACTTGGAACGAATCACGGCGGAGGCGGAAGTGGCGAAAAGGGGAGTGGCGGAAGGGGGAGTGGCGGAAGGGGGAGTGGCAGGTTCTGTGGCGTATTCAGATCTACGAGGCTTGCAAGCCATCCTCGCATCATACTTGCCAGAACCGGCCTCGAAATCCTTGCAAGCTTTGAAAGCCCCGGAATCGCGTTCTATCACGGAGCCTGCTCTGCGGATAATGCGGCCAACGCTTGCCGCTGGGCCCTCTACCGCCTCCAAGGCCCTGAAGTCGCGTTCTGACGCGGACGCAGCTCTACGGGCGGTGCGATGATGATGGCCGTGCGGAGCAGTGGAGAAGCCGAGCAGACGGGTGAGTCGCGGGGAAGGCGCAAGGCGAGGTGACGGTGACGCGGGTGGATGGGGCGAATGGGGAGCATGGTGAGTATGGGGGAGGGAAATATGGGGCGCATGGGGCTGATGGGGCTGATGGGGCGGTTGGGGAGCATGGGGCTGCGAAGTATGGGGCGAATGAAGCGGAGAAAACATTGCGGGGAGATGCGGAGAGGGGGGAGTGTCGCTGGCGGCGGGGGAAGAGGAGGGGAGATTTTTCCGGTCTGCCAGCGCCGCTGCAGTTGCTGCCGCTGCTGCTTCGCCACCTGTCCCTTTCCCTTCGACCAAAATATCTGCTCCCCCTTCCCCTCCGTCTCCCCTTCCGCCTCCCCCACTTCCTCCCCCTCCCCCTCCCCCTCCGCCTCCCCTTCCGCTCCCCCTTCCGTCGCCAATGCTCATGCTACCGCCGCCACCGCCCTCGCTACTACTACCACCATCGCCAGAGCTACGTGTGCCATTGCTTCTGCTGCTGCTTCTGCTGCTGCTACCGCCCTCGCTAGTACTACCACCATCGCCGGCGCGGCTCGTCTCGCGAGGACCTCTCTCGTCCGAGTGCGACCGCGTCCTTCCGCCGCCGCGCACGCGGAAGAGATCGGCGGAAGGGGAGGCGCGCTTAGTATCTTTCGCCCACCCATAGCATGACTTTTCCCTCGCGGGCTGCACAACAGCAGGAAGCATCCGCTACCACCACCGTCCGACGGGGAGTCCCCGCCGCGGCGGCTCTCGTCCGACGAGTAACCCGCACCGGCGGAACCGCTACCCGCCGCGGAGGCGGCGCTGCTTTCCCGATGATCCTTTGCGCCCTCGCCGCCTGAGGTTCCGCGTGCGCCTTCCTTCGAGTTGCGGCTTCCGCCTTCGCTTGCGCTTGCCGCGGAACGCGTGCGGATCGCAGGCTCCGCGGCGAAAGCCGCCAGCGCTTCGTCGCGCCACTCCGCGTCCATCTCGAGCGACCACGCGGCTTTCCGCCGAACGGCTTCCGCGTTCGGGCTGCGCACGGCGGCGGAAGCCGCCACTGGCACCATCGCCGCTAAGCTGCCGGTTCCGCGAGGGGAATCCTCCTCTACAACGAGATTGGGCACCGTCAGTCCGCGCGCCGACCGCGGAACGACGTCCCCCGCGTGCGCGCTGCGCGGCGCGGCTTCGGAAAGCAGTGGAGGAAGCCAGGGGGACGCCGCCGCGCTGACCTGCGCCGCCGCTGACGATGACGGGCTCATGGTTCCGCTCGCAATGCGGCAAGATTCGGCGGTGCGCGGACGCGGCGACGGCGCTGCACCAATGTCGGCAGATCGAGGGATAGTATCGCCGCCGCTTATAACGGTGTGGGGGCGAGGTGGAATCGGCGAGTTCATGGCGCCGCGGGATAACTCAATATGGGGTACGGTATCACCAGCGGAACAAGAGCGGCTCCGAGTCGCATTATTGCGTTTCGGAGTCCTGATGTCGGTTGGGGTAGCAGTACCATCAGCAGCGGTGACGTCACCCACCGCGGGAACCATGATGATGCTTCACACTGTCGGATGATGCTATTCTTGCTGATCACCTTCGGATGACGTTTGTTAACGCCGTGCAGCGCGCGCCGAAGCGCGCCAATGTTGCGTGAGCTGAACCCCGACGCGGCGCAATGATGGGTGAGAGAAACAGAGTAAGTGATGATGGCTCGAAAAGCTCAGGTAATATCCCAGCTCGACAGTGCCGCTGGTCGAGTAGTGAATCAGCTGAGATTTGCCTAGTCTTTAGAACGAGACCTATTCCTGCGGTCAGATCTGTTCTGCTCACGACAGTGGCTGCGGATATATGGATGAATGAAATACCGGACGAGCTGCTCGACGTAAATACTCGGCAACGCCGATGCCGCGCCATCGCGCCAGCTGCGGCACGCTCGTTGCAGAGTAGCGCGGAAGCGGGGGGGGGGGGGGGGGGGGATTTTGCGGGAGCTCCACGCCGATCGCCTCTGCTCGCCGCCGGTTGGCATCACAATCGCCGTTGACGTCATGGTGGGCGAACGGGATTGGCCGGTTGTTACGCTGGCGAATGACATTCCCGCATGCGATGGAGTCTGCGAACAGTGATGTACAGTGGCTAGAAGATCTATGATACACTGCGCAGAACGAATGCAGCGGCGACTTTGAAGATATTCTTCACGTTGGTCGTGGTAGCCGTTTCGTACGGGACAGAGGCTGCGGGGCACGCGTGGCAAGGCGGGGTGGTGGACTGGACTTGCGAAAGGTGTGATTGAGATTCGAGTCGAGAGAGCGCCGAACGGACGGTCTGAGAGGATGAATGAGGATGAGATGAACGCGAACTGTGCGGGAAGCAGTGAGATGAGAGATGAGGTGATGAGAGGACACGATGAGATGAGAGAGCAAGATGATGAAATGGGTGAGAAACCCTAGCCATAGGAGGTGGAAGTGTGGCGGTAACAGCGCGAGCACAGCAAATCGAGAGGCAAGCGGGTAGCTTGAGCCCACCAAAGAAAGTGGCGAGCCTCGACTCAATCCGGCAAGAGTTGAGCGCGAAGAAGACAAGTCAAAAGTTGAGGTAGGGACAACAGCCAAATACAGTTTACCGTGCCAGTTTCGGCGTTGTTCGGGTGCGAAGCACGAACCGACGACCTCATTCATTGGCTGCGAAGACAGGTGCAACGACTGCAACGTTGACCACGAATCGACCGAAAAAATGGTGAGCGACGAAATCGACCGTCCTAAATCCACACACCAGGCATACCGCGAACAGGTTCGACACTCACGGAATTCGTAACATTTCGCGAGTGATGAAAGCGACCGTTCTTCCGTGTCACCAGAAACAACAACTGCCAGAAACCATTTGTCTGTTAGTGCTTGAAAAAAATCTTCGAGGGTCTGACCGAACCTCCACTTCCTCTCTTCCGAGCCGACTTCAAGCCTTCCTAGCCTCGACCGCAACGCTCTGTTCGAATACAGCACACTCGCTTGGCTGGATGTCAGAATGCCTCGTATAAAACATCCAACAATGACTAGGCCTACACCGAACTATAAAACTTATAAAGAGAGTCTATGCAACTAACCAATCATGCATGAGGTCGTGCTAAAGAGCTTGTTTTGCTCAAAAACTGATAAATTATTGCCCAACCAAGAAGAACAACCGACTGTCGCTTTAGATATTTCGGTTGTTTGGAAAAATACACAAACACTAGCCATGTTTCTGTAAACTCTATTTACTATGCTGGTCCCGCATTACGTGAAGCCGGATGGCGACTCCGTACAACTATGGCATGCGATCAATCAATTTAAGAAGTCCCGATAACACCACCAAACAAGCATCACACTAGTGTACGTTTCTTACCCTCTCACCCTCTCACCATCAAACAACCTTCATCGGAAGTGCACTTCTCTTACTCTCTGTAGCACACTCTCCAAGTCACCTAGTCCACAGTACCTCCAACACAAGCATCACCGCAGCTGCATCCCTCGTACTCTCTGCATCACACTCTCCAAGTCCCCCTCCCCAGCCATCACTGCTGCATCTTCCTCCATTGCCTGTGGGCTGGCGGAAGTTGATTAAAAAAAAAAAAAAAAAGACAATGATGAGAAAACACGGAAAAGTATCAATGGAGAAAAATAAACAAAGAAATTGACGAGACAGGAACGAGGCTGACATGAGTTTGAATGCAAGCCAGTCTCACAATGAGAGGGAATCGTTAGTCCCGATTGTCCTCCCCAGCACGTCCTCTGGATGCGCTGGGTGTTCCTCTCCGCCCCCTCCCACATGCCTCATCACCCACGCCGAAGCTCACCTGTTTTGAGCACACGGCATACATCGCCCTCCCCAGCACGTCCTCCAGATGCACGGGCTGACCCTTTCCATCCCCTCGCACATGCCTCATGACCCAAGAAGAGTGCACCTGTTTTGAATGGGTCCATGGTCCTGCATGGATCGCACCACATAGAGAGCTCTTCCCAGCACGTCCTCTAGATGCACGGGGCCAAACGTGCGGCTGTCCCACGCCTCCTGTAAGCATTCAGACAAGAAAAGGAAGAAGATTTTAAAGGACTTTTGAGGTGCATCAACATTCCTCCCCAGCACATCCTCTACATGCACGGGGCCAAACGTGCGGCTGTCCCACGCCTCCTGTGCGCAGTCAGGGAAGGAAATGACTTTTGAGGCGCCTCAGTGGTGGTCCTTGAGGCACCTCTGAGAAACACCACATACATCGCCCTCCGCAGCATGGCCCCTAGATTCAGGGGGCCAAACGTGTGGCTGCCCCATGCCTCTTGTGCTCACAAGGAGAAACTGAAGCGGACGCATCATGCCTGGAAGGGTCAGCAACAGCCAGTTAAAGCCAGCAGCTAAAATAGTGAACCCCATCCCTCTTGAAAAATGTGTTATGAAACCAGTCCGACAAACACTGTTTCAAACGAATCGTATGGGCAGAGTGAACTTGTGTGATTGGCTCTCGCCAAAATGGAATGATTTGGTTCCCGCCAAAATGCACTTTCAGCCATCGCATTTTGCGCGCTGCATCCGCACGACCATTTCACAACCACTGCCTTTCCCAAGAGCCCTCAATTATTCACTGTACGAAAACACCTTTGCTCTTTGACCAAAGCCTTCATTCACTAAGCACCCCCCTAAGCATACCTGTGCAGGAACATCGGGGTTATCTGCGACCACCCAGAAGTGATTATCCTCTATCCGAAAAGGCGCATCCGACGGCTGAGGTGACTCAATCTCGTCTCCAGCAACGGCTGCGACTCGCCGAAACACAACTGTGGGCCTTGCTGTAACGGTGCTGTCACAAGGCTCCTCTTTCACTGTGGTGGTGTTACACGGGTCTGGTGCAATGCTGCTGCTGCTACGGCTTGTCGGAAGCTCTGCTGGTGTGTGGGCGTTGACGGATATGGTGTGTGAGTAGAGGGTTGTGGTCGCCTGGGGTCTGACTTGACTGTGGGATGCAGCAGTAGTTGCGGTGTCCAGGCTCACACACAGAACGTCCCCCACATGTACCTTACTGCAGGAGGGGAAGAAGAATCGAGAGGGATTGGGATGGATTGAGAGGGATTGAAAGGGATTGAGATGGGATTTGCTCTCGTGGAGGTGTTAAAGGGCCAACGGAAAGGGGCTTGGAAATGACAATGCATTGCATGCATGTATGTGTGCATGCTTACACAATCCATAGGATTGTATGTATGCATGCTTTCAAATGCCAATAAATGGATGTATGTGAGCATGCATACATGGGTTTAGGGATGTATGTGTGCATGTATACATGGGTGTGGGGATGTATGTTTCTTGATTACATGGGGTTGTGGTGTGGATGTATGTGCGCATGCTTCCATGAGCTTAGGAACATATGTGTCCAACCTTACACGGGCCACTGCATATATGTGTGCAACTTGACACCCGCAACTACATGTATGTAGTGTATGCTAACACATGCCATTACATTCACTCTAAGTGTGCATGCTTACACGGAACGAGGCAGCAGAACCCGATGGAGCACCCACTCGTCCTTTATCCCCTTTATAGACGGCTTCATGGCCTCGCTTCCAGCCTCTGATGCCTCAAGCTGCGTTATCAGTGGGAATCTTTCCTTCATCCCAAGAGCGATGAATTTCATCCAGTTATAGAGTGGCAGCTCGCCTCGTGGGTTCTTTGAGTAGAAAGCCTGATAAGAGAAAGCAGAAACGGGAAAAAGGGGAGAATTCTGAGTCGATTCAAAAGTCATCCAGTTATAGAGTGGACTGTCCCCTCTTGGGTTCTTCTGGTAGAAAGCCTGATACGAGAGAAAGCAGAAACGGGAGAAAGGGGGGATTCCTTCATCCCAAGAGCAATCAGATTTATCCAGTTATAGAGTGGTAGCTCGCCTCGTGGGTTCTTCTGGTAGAGAGCCCGATAAGAAAATAGAGAAGCGACAGAATGTGGAAAGTGTGATAAATAAAAGCTTCCGTGAGTGTGTGAAGACTGATAGGGAAATAAAAGAACAAAAGGGAGCAAAAACAGATGGAGCGGTAAAAGGAAGGAACGAATGAGCAGCGGAACAAGAGAAGAGATGAAGGCAAGGAGCAATGCACACACGCATTGAACGACAATCTCCCTCTGCTACACCTACAAACCATTCCCAGGACTCGACGTTTTAGTCGACTACAAAAACGAGGATGATTTTTGAGTCGAATCAAAAGTAATCTCCTTCTGCTACACCTACAAACCACTTGCAGGACTCCATGTTTTAGTCTACCACAAAACCGCACACATATTGAATTGAAGAGCAAGGACCTTCTGCTACACCTACACATAAGGACCAGAAGGAGATCCTGAAAATAGGCCTCTGCAGCCCACCCGTCCGCTATTAACAGCTCCTGCACACGTACTGGATTGAACAGCAAGGACTTTCTGCTACACCTACACATAACTTGCATATAGATGAAACTCGTCCCGAAATTCTCAAAAAACGAATGTGACTCACATGCTGGAAGACAAAGGCGAGCACTTGAGCCCTCTCCCGGTAGTACTTGAGCTTTGTCAGTACGGATGCCATGATGGGTGCTGTGCTGTGCTGTGCTTCCATGGGTGCTGTGCTTCCATGGGTGCTGTGCTTCCATGGGTGCTGTGCTTCCATGGGTGCTGTGCTTCCATGGGTGCTGTGCTTCCATGGGTGCTGTGCTTCCATGGGTGCTGTGCTTCCATGGGTGCTGTGCTTCCATGGGTGTTGTGCTTCCATGGGTGCTGTGCTTCCATGGGTGCTGTGCTTCCATGGGTGCTGTGCTTCCATGGGTGCTGTGCTTCCATGGGTGCTGTGCTTCCATGGGTGCTGTGCTTCCATGGGTGCTGTGCTTCCATGGGTGCTGTGCTTCCATGGGTGCTGTGCTTCCATGGGTGCTGTGCTTCCATGGGTGCTGTGCTTCCATAGGTGCTGTGCTTCCATGGGTGCTGTGCTTCCATGGGTGCTGTGCTTCCATGGGTGCTGTGCTTCCATGGGTGCTGTGCTTCCATGGGTGCTGTGCTTCCATGGGTGCTGTGCTTCCATGGGTGCTGTGCTTCCATGGGTGCTGTGCTTCCATGGGTGCTGTGCTTCCATGGGTGCTGTGCTTCCATGGGTGCTGTGCTTCCATGGGTGCTGTGCTTCCATAGGTGCTGTGCTGTCGCCACTGGGTTTACCCCTAAAATCACTTGCACATCCCAAGAATGACTCACATGCTGGAAGACAAAGGCGAGCACTTGAGCCCTCTCCCGGTAGTACTTGAGCTTCGTCAGTACGGATGTCATGATGGGTGCTGTGCTGTGCTGTGCTGCCAGCACTGGGATTACAGCGTGGTGCACTGACTGCCTTGACCAGCAGTGACGCGTCGCGGGCTCTGTTTCGCCCTCTCTTCAGCTACCCTGGCCGCCGCCTCAGCTCGTCTGACTGACTGACAGATTCAGCGCCGACCTGATTGTCTCGCAATAGCAGCTAGTTGGACCGATTGCCTCTACCAGCAGCAGAGCATGCTTTCTTTAGCTGTCCCAGCCGCTTCAGCTCGTCCGACTGACAGCTTGAGACGCAGAACGGAACGAATGGCTGCAGGTGGTAACCCGACTGCTTCAGCTCGCCTGCTAACTTCACCCCGCGACAGGAATTAGCTCGTCTAACTGGCTGGTTGTAACAGAATCAGCTCGCCTGACTGCTTCAGCTTGTCTGCTAGCTCCACTGCGTGACAGGCAGTTTGCCTCCTGCAACTACTCCAATCATTTTGTGACGGATTCAGCTTCTGACCGACTGACTGACTGACTGACTGACTGACTGACTGACTGATCTCGACAGATCCAGCTTGTCTGCTAGCTCTACTGGGGGATATGCAGTTTGCTTCCGACCGCTTCAGTTGGTCTGACAAACTGACGACCTCAACTTGGCTGACTGACTTTGACGTATTCGGCTCGACCGACCGACTGAATCTGACGGGTTCAGCCGGCCTGAATAACCGACTCTCACAGATGCAGATCGCCTGACTTTCTGACTCTGACTCAGCTCCGTCTGACTGACCGACTTTGACAGATGTAACTCGTCTGAATGACGGAATCTGACAGATTCAGCTCGTCTGTTAACTCCACTCTATGACAAGCATTTATTTTCAGCTCGTCCGGATTCAGGTCGCCTGACTGACTGACTGACTCAAACTCAGTCCGTCGGACTGACCGACTCTAACAGCTTCAACTCGTATGACTGACGGACTCTGACAAATTGAGCTCGTCTGTTAACTCCACTCCATGGCAAGCAACTCGCTTCAGCTCGTCCGACGGACTAAATCTGACAAATTGAGCTCCTTTGACTGACTGGCTCGTGGCAGTTCGCTCCTCCCACTCGTGTTTGGAGGTACCTTAGTCGAACTGCAGTGCAGCTAGTGCTCAATTGAGCACTTAACTCCTTAGATCATGTTCTTAGTACGGGTAACTGATGTGTGATAGTCCCTACACAGCCGCTCCCTTTGAAAAGAACATATCGACAATTGAAGAATGCGTAAGATGATTTAGCTACCCACTCGCGCTGCGTTGCTCGCACGCTCAGCTGCGTTGCTCCGCTCAAACAAAATTCCGAAGAATGTAACTTTTATTCTACAAAAATTTACTCGCGATAAGCCTGAATGCGATCTGCGCTCAGATAAGGCTCGGTACGGCTCGGTTCGGTATAAGATATGTGAGAAGTTTCGATCTCGTGCCTACTAACCAAAACGGAAGCGACAGCGAGAGGAACTAGGAATGACGACGCGGACTAGACGTGCGCTTAGTCGTCGTTGAACCCGTGTTCTTATCCAAGTTACTCAGGGGGTGCTTCGGAACGAGGTACCCAATGCCATGTATGGTGTATGTCCAGAGATAACAAGCTATTGTACTACTGGAGAAGCAAAACAGCGGGCATGGATGTTATTTGGATTGTGCGAAGTGGCACAGGAATTCGCATAAGGTCCTCGTTATTGCAGTCTCCTTATTCTCCACATGCGTAAACCTCTCCAGTCTTTGAGTCAGTGTATAACAAGGCAAATAAGGTAATTCCCTGGGAACACAAGCCCAATATGAGCAACTGTGTCAATAGGAGAGCATCACCTGATCTAGTGCAAGTCAACTTCTGTGAGATTTGATGACCGCCACAATTCTTTTAATAATATCCTCCACATCTTTGCATTCCACAGCCAAGACTCCTGCATCTTGTACCCTGGCTGTAAAACTGCAAGAGGGAACGGACAGAAAATACATGAACATTGGTTATGAAAACATTATCTCGGAAAATCCTTATTACCGTGAAGGGTAAAAAACACAAAACAGCATTTCATTTCTCAAGCTAAAACATTATGTTTTATTATTCATATTCACCTGTGGTATAGGCTCATGATCAACCGCTGATACCACCATGAACGTCCTTCACAAACCCTTTGTTATGCGTTCACAGCAAAAGCTCGATTCACACGAAAGAAATCTCAGCTGCTTCGGATGGGCCCATGATCTTCTTCTGATCGCACCACATACAGTGCCTTCTTGAATTTGATGTTCCTATGCAGAGGCCCGATGATGCAACTGTTAAGAGCTGGCTCCACCTTGAAAAAAAAAAAAAAAAACCTCACCTGCTTCGGATGGGCCCGTGATCATCATCTGATCGCACCACATACAGTGCCCTCTCGTATATGTAGTTCCTATGCACAGGGCCGATGGTGCGGCTGTCGATAGCTTCCTGGAAGGTGAGGGAGACGCAAGCAGAGATGGAACGATGACATTCCGCACATGCCTCTCTGCATGCCTCTCTGCATGCCTCTCTGCATGCCTCTCTGCATGCCTCTCTGCATGCCTCTCTGCATGCCTCTCTGTATGCCTCTCTGTATGCCTCTCTGTATGCCTCTCTGTATGCCTCTCTGCATGCCTCTCCGTATGCCTCTCTGCATGCCTCTCTGCATGCCTCTCTGCATGCCTCTCTGCATGCCTCTCTGCATGCCTCTCTGCATGCCTCTCTGCATGCCTCTCTGCATGCCTCTCTGCATGCCTCTCTGCATGCCTCTCTGCGTGCCTCTCTGCATGCCTCTCTGCATGCCTCTCTGCATGCCTCTCTGCATGCCTCTCTGCATGCCTCTCTGCATGCCTCTCTGCATGCCTCTCTGGATGCCTCTCTGCATGCCTCTCTGCATGCCTCTCTGTTGGCCTCTCTGTAGGCCTGCCATATGCCTCACTCTCTGCCTATATCTCTGCCTATATCTCTGCCTATATCTATGCCTGTATCTCTGTATGCATCTCTGCATTCCGCACATTACACCTCTCTGCATGGCGCCTCACTATATGCCTCACTACAGGGCACTAGTGCAAACTAGTGCACTAGTACAGGGCACTTTCCCACCCAATGACCCTTCTCTATATATATCTCACCCAATGACTCACTGTATATCTCTGTATGCCTTTCACTACAGGGCATTAATGCAAACTTCTCGCTCGGCACCTTTGCACCCTTGAGCATACCTTTGCAGGAACAGCCAAGTTGTCAGCGAGAAGCCAGAAATGGTCCTTCTCTATCCGAATCGGCTCATCCGACGGCCGAGAGGACATAATCTCGTCTCCAGCAACGGCTGCCACTCGCCGAAAAGCAAAGGGGAGCTCAGACATTGGCATATCAGTCTTGGGACCGACAGGGGGGAAACATGGGTTGCGCGATTGACTGTATTTCTGGCAGCTTCTATTTGGGCCGCTTTTTTCCTTTTCATTGCCCTTTTTGGATTGTTGCTTTTGAAAGAAGAGGCTTTGGTTTGTAACCGAAGCGGCGCCGCTGCTTTTGTCCCTTGGGAAGCTGTTACCCCCGTTGCTGTTCCGTCATTGGCCGTTGACTCAGCAGACACCTCGGGATTGGCTGATTTCGCGTAAAAGGCAGCTGTTGCGGGATCATATCTCATCGCCACGACATCACCAACAGAAATTTCACTGCATAGGCCAAGACATTTGGGAGAAGAAGAGAAGAAGAGAAAGAAAGACGCAATCAGTGCAAGCACCCACAGCAGTCAAACCTTTTGATAGTTATAGCCTCAGCATTGAACTGACGCAGGAGATACTGACACAGGACAGGAGATACTGACACAGGACAGGAGGTACTGACACAGGACAGGAGATACTGACACAGGACAGGAGATACTGACACAGGACAGGAGATACTGACGCAGGACAGGAGATACTGAAGCATTAAAATGCCTTAGTCGACTAAAAAAACACATTGAGCTGATGACGCATCGAGTTAACGAGGCTACTGCTAAATGGGAAGCTATGTGACAGTCACCCTCTCTGCCATACTCACTGCAAGCCAGGAGGTAGCAAATAGCGGCAGAGCACCCATTCGGTCGCTGTCCCCTTTAGAATCGGTTTCATTGATTCGTCTCCAGTCACAGTCGGCCTGAGCGCGCTTAAGTAGTTGTCACGACTCATCATGATTTTGACAACCTTTCTCGTGAGCTCGAAGAAAGAAGGCGGTGTTCCTGACTGCTTTAAGCGGTCCTGTACGGTGGGAGGGAGAAAGGGAGAAAGGGAGGGAGGGAGGGAGGGAGAGAGGGAGGGAGGGAGGGAGGGAGGGAGGGAGGGAGGGAGGGAGGGAGGGAGGGAGGGAGGGAGGGAGGGTGGGAGGGAGGGAGGGAGGGAGGGAGGGAGGGAGGGAGGGAGGGAGGGAGGGAGGGAGGGAGGGAGGGAGGGAGGGAGGGAGGGAGGGAGGGAGGGAGGGAGGGAGGGAGAGAGGGAGGGAGGGAGGGAGGGAGGGAGGGAGGGAGGGAGGGAGAGAGGGAGGGAGGGAGAGAGGGAGGGAGGGAGGGAGGGAGGGAGGGAGGGAGGGAGGGAGAGAGGGAGGGAGGGAGGGAGGGAGGGAGGGAGGGAGGGAGGGAGGGAGGGAGGGAGGGAGAGAGGGAGGGAGGGAGGGAGGGAGGGAGGGAGGGAGGGAGGGAGGGAGATAGGGAGTAATCACGGCTCGTCATGATCCTAACAACCCTCTTTGTGAGATCGCAGAAAGAAGCCGGTGTTCCCGAGTGCTGTAAGGTACGCCAGGCCGATGCGACTTTTGGGTCGACTCAAAAATCGCCTCGCTCACCTTACATAATCATTCGACTCAAAAGCACTCACCATGTACACCAGTGGTACAACGCGAGCTTCGCAAGGAAGTACCTCTTGAGTCGCTCAAGAGTCAACTCAGAAGGCAGAGCGTTTGTGCTATGCAGCACTCACCATGTACACCACTCTGTGGTACAACGCGAGCTTCTCAACAAAGTACCTCTTGAGTCGCTCAAGAGTCAACTCAGAAGGCAGAGCGTTTGTGCTATGCAGCACTCACCATGTACACCACTCTGTGGTACAACGCGAGCTTCTCAACAAAGTACCCAAGCCGTCTCCGCAGCCCCATACTGGCTTCCAAACCCGGACCTGAAAAGACGAAGCCTGAAAATCCGACCAAGGGAATTCTGATCCTGTAAATCCGAACCTGAACCGGAGAATAGAAATCTGATCCTGGGATCAGACCCTGCTACCGGGAAATTGTGACCCCGAGATGGAAAATCAAAATTCGAGCCAGAGACCCTTGGGATTCATCTGGGAATCGGAGCCTAGCTAGAGACTCTGGTTGCGGTAGCGTCAAATTTGCTCAGTGATTTCGAATCACCCCCTACCAAGGACCCCGGCTCAGCTCATTAGCAGTTTAATAAGGAACTATCGCCTAGCAGAGCCAGCCTAATAGTATCTCCGACCTTGAGATGTAGACTAAACTTCTCGCAACGTGTGTGAACCAGAATGAAGGACGTCTCAAGGCGACTGCATGATGCGCGTGAACCGACGAAGCGAATACGGGGGGATTGGCGGTAAAAGAGAGGCTCGGAGGGTGATACACGAAGGCGACGCCGTTCGGTTCGACGGAGGACGAGGAGAAGGATCGAGGGAAACTTAGGAGGACGAGGCGAAGGATCGTGGGGAACTTAGGAGGACGAGGAGAAGGATTGAGGGGAATAGAGGACGAGGAGAAGGATCGAGGGGAATAGAGGACGAGCCAAGAGATGACGAAAACCTTGGCCCGCTTTGCACGCTTACTCACACGGAGCACGACCCATGCTCATAGAGAGGCAAAGACAAGTCAGCGTGGAGACTTCATTCTGACGAAGCGCATTCTCGAACCTACTCAAGCCTGATGTTTCAACTTCCCCTATGTCGCCGAGAACAAATGGAAGGAAATTGAGAACTAAAGTGCTTCCAACACAAGCAAATCGGAGGAAGGAAGTTTGTTTGGTGTGTCGTGGTTTTATCTTCCATGGGATTCGACGCAAAAAAAACGTCATGCGTAGACAAAAGAATTCCGTTGCCGGGACTTAAACCCGGGTCTCTCGGGTGAGAGCCGAGTATCCTAACCGACTAGACTACAACGGATGTTCAAGCCATTATCGTTTTACGATTTGACACATTAAACGCGTAAAATCGTTTTCCGCCACGAGGAATCAACTGTACGAATGTGATGGAAGAGGACGCTGATCTCGCGAGAATTTTTTCTCCACGCGATGATTATGGCGGCAGCATTCGTTTGCATTGCACTCTCGATGCTAAGCTGCACCATTCTAGAATCCCCGCACGCTGATCGTTTTACACTTTCATCCGATGGTGATATCCGCAAAAATGACTCTGTCACTGGGCCTCTGGTCGTACAGCGAGGGTGTGACTCTAACGAGTGGTTGCGAACCATGGCCGTGATTGTGACTCAAGTGAAGGACGGCCTCGATGGCACGAGCATCCTCTGGTTCGTTTGTTTACATCCCCGGCTAGAAGCGTCTCGATAAGGAAACTGCGTTGCACAGATTCATTTTTGTAAGGGTAGCTGTAGGTTCACATTGTCCCTTCGCTTCTCGCTTCTGACTCTTCCTCCTCATTTTCCGCCTTTTCCACCCCGCATTGGTTTTAATCTTCACCGCTTTCTGGTCGATACCAGTAACGACGACTTCTGTTACCGAATTCCTGACCCCCTCGTGCGACTCAATAACGAGGATAATGATGGTGGGGTGGAGGGAGAGTCCGAGCGGATGGCTGACAAGGATGAGGGTGCTGCTGACGTGGCTGATGGAGGATGGGAGGACGGCGCAGGGGGGGATGGAGAGGGTGGAAGGGAGGGAAGACGCGTTGCAGGTGGAGAGGCGGCGGTGCAGGGAGAAGATCCTGCTGACGTGGACACACGCAGTGATGCCACGTGTCCTGAACTTCTCCTCCTACGGCATGGTGAGCCAGAGGCGTTGCCACGTGAGCCAATCAATGCTCAACACACCACAGCACTTGTGCCACGTCATGCCCTCCCTCCAGTTGGTGTAATGTAATGTGATCACTCTCTCACCCTGCCAACACCCATCCTTCCCCACCCCTTCCCTTTCCTCCACTCCCATCCATACGCACTCTCCATTCTAGTCCGTTCCACTCAATATCAGTACATCCCCCGTCTCCGCACACTCCCTTTTTTCTTACCCCTCTCCCTCTCCCGCTTCCCATCACCATCCCAGGCACGCACCTCTTCCCCATCGGATCCCCAGCCACGCCTTCCGGCTCGCCCCACCACCACCCATCCCAGCACCCCCCTCGCCGTCTGGAGCGCCCATCAGCCTTGGCCCTCTGCCTGCACGGCGCTGCTCTCCCCGCACTCCTAAATTTCCAACTCCTTTCTCTACCCCCCTCCCGCTTCTCATCCCCATCCCAGACACGCACCTCTTCCCCATGGGATCCCCAGCCACGCCTTCCGCCTCTCCCCACAGCACTCGCCCCAGCACCCCCCTCGCCCTCTGGAGCGCCCATCAGCTCTGGCTTTCTGCCTGCACGCCGCTGCTCTCCTCGCACTCCTTAATTTCCATCTCCATTCTCTACCCCCCTCCCCATCGCCATCCCCATCCCTATCCCCATCCCCATCCGCATCCCAATCCCCATCTCCATCCCAGGCACGCACCTCTTCCCCATCGGATCCCCAGCCACGCCTTCCGGCTCTCCCCACCACCACTCCCCCCACCCCCCGCCTCGCCCTCTGGAGAGCCCATCAGCCCTGGCTCTCTGCCTGCACGCCGCTGATCTCCCTTCGCTGCCCTTTTTCTCGCCCTTCATCGCCCCGCCTCCGCCTCTGGAGAATGCAGAAGTTGCAATGCACCGCAGAGTCATGCAGGTGAGTGGGACAGCCGCTCTCTCTCTCTCTCCACCTCCACCCGCCTCGCCCTCTGGAGACCCCATCAGCCCTGGCTCTCTGCCTGCCCACTGCTGCTCTCCCTGCGCTGCCCTTCTTCTCGCCCTTCATCGCGCTGCCACCGCCTTTGGAGAACGCAGAAGTGGCGATGCACCGGAGGGTCATGCAGGTTAGATGGGTGAGCCCCACGCTTGATGCATGCACATCCCAGCTGCCCACATCTCTCCCCGCGCTGCCCTTCTTCTCGCCCTTCATCGCGCCGCCACCGCCACTAGAGAATGCTGAAGTGGTGATGCATCGCAGAGTGATGCAGGTGAGACAGAGACACACCCGCACTGCTGAAGAGACACACCCCTCTTTTCCCCATTGCTCCTTCCCCTCGTCTTGTGCTTGGTTCGCTCTCTGTCTGCACGTCACATCTCTCCCCGCACTGCCCTTCTTCTCACCCTTCATCACCCCGCCCCCGCCACTCGAAAACGCATAAGCAGCGATGCACCGGAGGGTGATGCAGGTGAGTGAGTGAGCTTGACGTTGGAAAACGCCGTAACAGGATTGCTGTACGCATTATAAAAGGGACGCAACCGTGGGCTATAAGTCACCTCCTCTGCCACTAGAGAGCGCAGAAGTGGCGATGCACCGGAGACTCATGGATGGAGGTGAGTGAGTGAACCTGACGCTGGAGGTGAGTGAGCGAACCTGACTCTGGTAAATGCACAAGCGGGAATCGAGATTGCTCTGTAGCTGGGGAACGAATGCTCCTGATGCAGCTGGAGGCAAGAATGCTCCTGATGCAGCTGGAGGCAAGAATGCTCCTGATGCAGCTGGAGGCAAGAATGCTCCTGATGCAGCTGGAGGCAAGAATGCTCCTGATGCAGCTGGAGGAATGCTCCTGATGCAGCTGGAGGCAAGAATGCTCCTGATGCAGCTGGAGGCAAGAATGCTCCTGATGCAGCTGGAGGCAAGAATGCTCCTGATGCAGCTGGAGGCAAGAATGCTCCTGATGCAGCTGGAGGCAAGAATGCTCCTGATGCAGCTGGAGGCAAGAATGCTCCTGATGCAGCTGGAGGCAAGAATGCTCCTGATGCAGCTGGAGGCAAGAATGCTCCTGATGCAGCTGGAGGCAAGAATGCTCCTGATGCAGCTGGAGGCAAGAATGCTCCTGATGCAGCTGGAGGCAAGAATGCTCCTGATGCAGCTGGAGGCAAGAATGCTCCTGATGCAGCTGGAGGCAAGAATGCTCCTGATGCAGCTGGAGGCAAGAATGCTCCTGATGCAGCTGGAGGCAAGAATGCTCCTGATGCAGCTGGAGGCAAGAATGCTCCTGATGCAGCTGGAGGCAAGAATGCTCCTGATGCAGCTGGAGGCAAGAATGCTCCTGATGCAGCTGGAGGCAAGAATGCTCCTGATGCAGCTGGAGGCAAGAATGCTCCTGATGCAGCTGGAGGCAAGAATGCTCCTGATGCAGCTGGAGGCAAGAATGCTCCTGATGCAGCTGGAGGCAAGAATGCTCCTGATGCAGCTGGAGGCAAGAATGCTCCTGATGCAGCTGGAGGCAAGAATGCTCCTGATGCAGCTGGAGGCAAGAATGCTCCTGATGCAGCTGGAGGCAAGAATGCTCCTGATGCAGCTGGAGGCAAGAATGCTCCTGATGCAGCTGGAGGCAAGAATGCTCCTGATGCAGCTGGAGGCAAGAATGCTCCTGATGCAGCTGGAGGCAAGAATGCTCCTGATGCAGCTGGAGGCAAGAATGCTCCTGATGCAGCTGGAGGCAAGAATGCTCCTGATGCAGCTGGAGGCAAGAATGCTCCTGATGCAGCTGGAGGCAAGAATGCTCCTGATGCAGCTGGAGGCAAGAATGCTCCTGATGCAGCTGGAGGCAAGAATGCTCCTGATGCAGCTGGAGGCAAGAATGCTCCTGATGCAGCTGAGGCAAGAATGCTCCTGATGCAGCTGGAGGCAAGAATGCTCCTGATGCAGCTGGAGGCAAGAATGCTCCTGATGCAGCTGGAGGCAAGAATGCTCCTGATGCAGCTGGAGGCAAGAATGCTCCTGATGCAGCTGGAGGCAAGAATGCTCCTGATGCAGCTGGAGGCAAGAATGCTCCTGATGCAGCTGGAGGCAAGAATGCTCCTGATGCAGCTGGAGGCAAGAATGCTCCTGATGCAGCTGGAGGCAAGAATGCTCCTGATGCAGCTGGAGGCAAGAATGCTCCTGATGCAGCTGGAGGCAAGAATGCTCCTGATGCAGCTGGAGGCAAGAATGCTCCTGATGCAGCTGGAGGCAAGAATGCTCCTGATGCAGCTGGAGGCAAGAATGCTCCTGATGCAGCTGGAGGCAAGAATGCTCCTGATGCAGCTGGAGGCAAGAATGCTCCTGATGCAGCTGGAGGCAAGAATGCTCCTGATGCAGCTGGAGGCAAGAATGCTCCTGATGCAGCTGGAGGCAAGAATGCTCCTGATGCAGCTGGAGGCAAGAATGCTCCTGATGCAGCTGGAGGCAAGAATGCTCCTGATGCAGCTGGAGGCAAGAATGCTCCTGATGCAGCTGGAGGCAAGAATGCTCCTGATGCAGCTGGAGGCAAGAATGCTCCTGATGCAGCTGGAGGCAAGAATGCTCCTGATGCAGCTGGAGGCAAGAATGCTCCTGATGCAGCTGGAGGCAAGAATGCTCCTGATGCAGCTGGAGGCAAGAATGCTCCTGATGCAGCTGGAGGCAAGAATGCTCCTGATGCAGCTGGAGGCAAGAATGCTCCTGATGCAGCTGGAGGCAAGAATGCTCCTGATGCAGCTGGAGGCAAGAATGCTCCTGATGCAGCTGGAGGCAAGAATGCTCCTGATGCAGCTGGAGGCAAGAATGCTCCTGATGCAGCTGGAGGCAAGAATGCTCCTGATGCAGCTGGAGGCAAGAATGCTCCTGATGCAGCTGGAGGCAAGAATGCTCCTGATGCAGCTGGAGGCAAGAATGCTCCTGATGCAGCTGGAGGCAAGAATGCTCCTGATGCAGCTGGAGGCAAGAATGCTCCTGATGCAGCTGGAGGCAAGAATGCTCCTGATGCAGCTGGAGGCAAGAATGCTCCTGATGCAGCTGGAGGCAAGAATGCTCCTGATGCAGCTGGAGGCAAGAATGCTCCTGATGCAGCTGGAGGCAAGAATGCTCCTGATGCAGCTGGAGGCAAGAATGCTCCTGATGCAGCTGGAGGCAAGAATGCTCCTGATGCAGCTGGAGGCAAGAATGCTCCTGATGCAGCTGGAGGCAAGAATGCTCCTGATGCAGCTGGAGGCAAGAATGCTCCTGATGCAGCTGGAGGCAAGAATGCTCCTGATGCAGCTGGAGGCAAGAATGCTCCTGATGCAGCTGGAGGCAAGAATGCTCCTGATGCAGCTGGAGGCAAGAATGCTCCTGATGCAGCTGGAGGCAAGAATGCTCCTGATGCAGCTGGAGGCTTAGGACAATGCGTGCATTGGCGTGTGATGTGTTCTTGAGAATGAAAAGAAGCACGTTGCATTGTTGCAGCTAGGGGCCACCCACCGCCACAGCATGCATGCACAGGAGAAGCCACGTGTAAAGAGGTTATTTTTGAGACGTCTAAAAAAATAAACCTCTTTACACACAGCTAGGGCCCACCACCACAGCATGCATGCACAGGAGAATCACCAGAAGCTGGCCTTGTGATGCATTTCGACATAGGCTGGTGATGCATGCATGTGATACTGGCAGGCAGAAGTACACCACTCTAAAATAAAGCTTAAGAGGGGTTAATCAATAAATCTTGGTGTGCGCTGCTTTTTCACCTGACCTCACTTGTTCAGGAGATTGCCAACCTGACGGCTCACCTGGAAGGCGATCCAGGGAACGCCCACCTGCTGCTGGAGCGAGGTAGGGCTTTCTTATGGTTCCGTTCCGTGAAGCCCGTTGACCAACCATGCTCTGTTTTCATGCTTGGGGTTGTCTGCGTGCTTTTCTTGTGTTGTTCCGTTTCTGCTGTGCTGCTAGAACGAGGTGAGGCGTTGCTTGTGCTCGTATGATTCAGTGAAGCCCGTTCAACGGTGTTGACCCCACCAATGCTCTGTTTCGAGACTTGGTTGGTGCAGCATCCACCACTTCCCAGGGGCCATAATGGACTTTGCAATGTCAGCCACTTGATTTTGAGTCGACTGACAGGTTAAACAACCCTCGTTATTGCCACACTACCCCGTCCCCCCCCTCTCCTCCCCCAGCAGGCGTGGTACAGCATTCACCGCTTCCCAGAGGCCATAGCGGACCGGCAGCAATCCGGTACCCTCCTGGGTTGTTGCGAGTTGACTCACAAGTCAACCAACCCTCGTTACTATCACACTACCTCTCCCCCCCCAGGCCAGGCGTGGTACAGCGTTCACCCTTCCCAGAGGCTGTAGCGGACGGACCGGCAGCGAGCCGTGGCCCTCTTAGGATGAAAATCAACTGAGACATTGACCACGCCCCTCGTTATTATCACACTACCCCAACCCAACCCCCCCCAGGCAGGGCGTGGTACAGCATTCACCGCTTCCCAGAGGCTGTAGCGGACAGGAAGCAAGCTGTTGCTATCCTGGAAGAGCCGTCTGCTGCTCACGTGGAACCTCACAGCAGTGGAAGCAATGGGAGCAATGGGAGCAATGGGAGAATTCGGGGCAACCACCACCACCCCTCCGACCTGCCACGAGCACTGCTCTCCCTGGTAAGCTGCTGCTCCGAGTGCTGTGCTCTCTCTTATACCCTCTGCTGCTCACTCGGGACCTCACAGCAATGGGAGCAATGGGAGCAATGGGAGCAATGGGAGCAATGGGAGCAATGGAAGCATTCGGGGCAACCACCACCACCCCTCCGACCTGCCACGAGCACTGCTCTCCCTGGTAAGCACCCTTCCCTGGCGACCATGTTAAAGAAGAAGAGTTTTGAGACGTCTCAAAACCCTTCCCTGGCGACCACCACCCTTCCCTGTGCTGTGCTCCCTCCCTCCCTCCCTCCCTCCCTCCACGTGACAGGCTGGCTGGGTGCCCTGGGGGAGACCTTGCGTGCTTGTCTGCGTAACCCCCCCATACCCCGGCCCGTCCACCCCCCCGCTTGTGCTTGCCCATCCCTTCCCCTTTCTTCTTCTCCCAACACCAGCCCTACTTGAGTGATTGTCTGCGTGTCGTTGCCCCCTGCCCGTCCATCCAACCCAACCCCCGCTTGTACTTGCCCATCCCTTCCCCTTTCTCTCTCTCCAATCACAGCCCTACACGTGGCTTGCAGGGTGCAGGGTAGGAAGCACTGAAAGGCACCAAGCGTTTTCCTGTTAATGTCCCCCAATCCAACCCCCTCCCATCCTTGCCTATCCCTCGTCGCCCTTTAATCAGGGCGGGGCCCTACACACAGCAGGCAGGGTGCAGGAAGCAGTGCAAGAAGGAAACCTCTTTCCCGGCTATGCCATGCTGCCCCCTGCTGGGTGCAGGAAGCAGTGCAAGCCAACGAACGTGCTGCTGCCCATCATCCCATCATCCCATCCTTTTCCATCCCCCATCCTTGCCTGGTGCCTCTCCCAGGGTCAGGCCCTGCATGCAGCAGGCAGGGTGCACAGGGGAGGGGGACACGAAGCACTTCCCCGCCCGCCCATTCAACTCCTTCCCGTCCTTGCCCATTCCTCCCCCTCACTCCCTCTCCCAGGGCCAGGCCCTGCATGCAGCAGGCAGGGTGCAGGAAGCAGTGGAAGCCAACGAACGCGCCGCCACCCTCATCCCATCCCAGAACCTCACGAGTCCTGCCACGTCAGCAGCAGCCACGTCAGCAGAAGACACATCAGCAGCCGCCAGCTCAGCGGAGTGGGTGACGGCGTCAGCGGCGTGGGGGATGGTGGGGCTGTCGTACCATTGGCTGCCGGATGCGGATAGCGCTGAGAGGGCGTTCCGATTGGCTGTTGAGGCGGACCCACGGTGAGTACTACTGGGTTCACTTAAAGTCACTGGTTTTTGAAATTTCTCAAGAGTGAGAACTAGGTTCTGGTTCAGGGGCACTGGGCGGGGCGATGCATAGCTGAACCGCCCTGACTGTGTAGGCTTAGACTAGACTTACGAGCAGTGTCAGGGGCGTGGAGTGGAGGCTGGTGGGGCTGTCTTACCATTGGCTGCCGGATGCGGATAAGGCTGAGAGGGCGTTCCGATTGGCTGTTGAGGCGGACCCTTGGTGGGTGAGAGGGGGGAGTAGAGGGATAAGGTGGGTGAGAGAGGGATAAGGTGGGTGAGAGAGGGGGATAAGATGGGTGAGGGAGGGGGAAAAGGTGGGTGAGAGAGGGGGAAAAGGTGGGTGAGAGAGGGGGATAAGGTGGGTGAGAGAGGGGGATAAGGTGGGTGAGAGAGGGGGATAAGGTGGGTGAGAGAGGGGGATAAGGTGGGTGAGAGAGGGGGATAAGGTGGGTGAGAGAGGGGGATAAGGTGGGTGAGAGAGGGGGATAAGGTGGGTGAGAGAGGGGGATAAGGTGGGTGAGAGAGGGGGAAAAGGTGGGTGAGAGAGGGGGATAAGGTGGGTGAGAGAGGGGGATAAGGTGGGTGAGAGAGGGGGAAAAGGTGGGTGAGAGAGGGGGATAAGGTGGGTGAGAGAGGGGGATAAGGTGGGTGAGAGAGGGGGATAAGGTGGGTGAGAGAGGGGGGAATAAGGTGGGTGAGAGAGGGGGATAAGGTGGGTGAGAGAGGGGGATAAGGTGGGTGAGAGAGGGGGATAAGGTGGGTGAGAGAGGGGGGAATAAGGTGGGTGAGAGAGGGGGATAAGGTGGGTGAGAGAGGGGGGAATAAGGTGGGTGAGAGAGGGGGGAATAAGGAGTAGTGGGTTCAGGGGCACTGGCCGAACCATAGCTGAGCCATAGGTGGTGTGGACATTGATTGATCACAAGGATTCTGCCCACCCCTCTGCCCACCCCTCTGCCCACCCCTCTGCCCACCCTTTGCCCCACCCTTCTCCCCTTTGCTGCAGCGCAGGAGCGCCAAGGCCTACAGGCACTGGACATGGGTGAATGAGCTCTTTGCTCCTCCCCTCTCCTCCCCTCTCCTCCCCTCTCCTCTCCGCCCCTCTCCGCCCCTCTCCCCCTACCACAAGCGTTGCATCACGAGTCGACTCTCCTCACCCCTCTCCCCTCCCCTTCTCCCGTTTGCTCCACCGCAGGAACCCCAAGGCTTACAAGCACTGGGCAATGCACCGACAGATGACAGGGGACTTGAAGTGAGTGTGAGCTCAAAATGCCTAGGGGAGCTGGGAGTGCGGGATGATGGAACGTGCTGGAGTGAGGGAAAGAGTCGGAGTAAAAGGGAGTTGGAACCAGGAACTCCAAGGCTTACCAGCACTGGGCAATGCATCGACGGGTAATGCACTGGACGAGAGAGTGACGCCATCAGACGTCTCAAAACACTCCTCGCTTTCAACCTCGCCCACGCCAGGGTCGGCTTTAGAACCACTGGGCGTACAAGAAGGACCCAAGAAACCTCTTCCCTGGATATGCCATGCTGACCCCTGCTGCCGCCTTTGCTCCTCGCCGCCCGCCTCGCCGTTCCTCTCCTCTCCTCGCCAACTCCTTCCTCGCTTGGCACATTTCTCCACCGCAGGCTGGTTCCGAGAATTCTTTTTGAGACGTCTCAAAAATAATATTTTTACACGTAACAACATTTCTCCACCGCAGGCTGGTTCCGAGAATTCTCAGAATCAACTTGCAATGCAACGAGAACGCCAACTCAGAATTCTCCCTCGGCTCATCTCTCCACGCTCACCCGCTCTCCCACTCCCCCTTCACCCTCCAAACACCAGGGGCACCATTCCTCTCCTCACCAAGTGGGTCTCCCTCGCCCCTCTTGATGCACCCCCAGGGACCACTCGTCTTCCTCTCTTTCCCCATCCCTCCCCTCCCCACGTCCTTGCTCTTCCCACACTCTTCTCATCGACCATTTCACCCTCCAATACAAACACCCGGGGCACCATTTTTTTCTCCTCACCAAGTGGGTCTCCCTTGCTCCTCGCCCTTCGCACGCCCCAAGGGCTGCTTTCTCCCACGCCAGATGCACCAGTCGTCTTCTTTAATAGCACATATCCCACGCCCCCTTTCATTTCACCCACACCCGCACCAGAGGTGCCATCCCTCTCCTCGTCAAGTGGTTCTCCCTTGCTCCTCGCACCTTCAAGGCTCATTCGTCTTCCTCTCCTTCCATCCCCTCGTGCCCTTCTGCTTGCTCTCCCCTCCCCACACGCCTTCCCTTCACCCTCCCTCCTCCCCCACGCCAGAGGCACCATCGCTCTCCTCACCAAGTGGTTCTCCCTCGCCCCGCGCACCCCCAAGGCCCATCTCACCCTGGGCTGTTGTCGGCAGGCCCTGGGGCACATAGCACATGCTGTAAGTGCAGCACCGCGCACGGGTCATGGATGGGGGTAAAAGTACGGTTCAGGGTTGAAGGTACCAATCACATCTCACACCTCCAAGCACCACCTCGCCTTGGGCTGCTGTAGCCAGGCTCTTGGGCGCATGGATGGTACACGCGGTGAGTGTGGCACTGGCCAGGTTTGGGGTTTAGGGTTCCTCTTGCCCCTCACAACTCCCTCCCCACTACACACACCTCCAAGCACCACCTCGCCTTGGGCTGCTGTAGCCAGGCTCTTGGGCACATGGATGGCACACGCGGTGAGTGTGGCACTGTGCATGGTTCAAGCCTGGGCTGCTGCAGGGTTGATGGTTTTGAGAGTTCACGGCTCAATCCCCCCAGCACCCCCAACCCAAGGACCATCTCGCCTTGGGCTGCTGTCGCCAGTCTCTAGGGCACAAGGCTCATGCTTTAAGTGTTATACCCGTTCAACTATGCCCATTCAGCTATGCCCATTCACCCATGCCCATTCACCCATGCCCATTCACCTATGCCCATTCACCCATGCTTAATCCCACATGCCCATGCCCACGCCCACATACCCATACTCGCACATGCCCCTTCACATATGCCCCTGCATGCCCATTACCATCATCCATAACCACCCTCCACCGCGCACCACCGTGCAGGTATCTGCCTTCACGCGCATCATTGACGCCCCATCAGACCCTGAAGATGCGCCCATTCTCTTCCACGCTTTCTACCAGGTAAGCTGCGGTGGGGAGTGGTAGATGCCTTGAAGGGAGCTACCCTGGGTGGCTTCTGTAGATAGATAGCTTCTCAGGTGATCTGCATGGCACCCCATCTGACCCTGAAGATGCGCCCATCCTCTTCCACCCACGCCTTCTACCAGGTAATCTGCGGTGGGCAGTGGTAGATGCTGTATAGGGTTACCACATATATCACCACCCACCGAATTGGTGGCTTCCAACCCCCAACCCTCAAGATGCGCCCATTCTTTTCCACGCCTTCTACCAGGTAAACTGCGGTGGGGAGTGGTAGATGCCTTGTAGGGAGCTACCCTGGGTGGCTTCTGTAGATAGATAGCTTCTCAGGTGATCTGCATGGCACCCCATCCGACCTGACCCTCAAGATGCTCCCATCCTCTTCCACGCTTTCTACCAGGTAAGCCTGGAGTGTGCTGTGTGCTTTCCACGCCTGGGATTACCAGGTGGCTTCCAGGAAATTACTAAGAGTTCATAATCAAGTGACTATCAGGTGACTGTCAGGTGACTATCAGGTGACTTTCAGGTGACTATCTCTTGACCTATTGGGTGAGTGAGTTGTATGGGAATATGAGGGTGGTTTGCCGCTTCTGAGCACCCGTACTTCCTGTGCGTCCACGTCCCTTCCCATTCTTTCCCTTCTCTCTGCTCTGTCAATCTTTCTCTTCCAATCCAGTCCACTACTTTTGTCTCAGCGTGACGTCAAGTTCCTAGCTGTCTCAGCGTGACGTCAAGTTCCTAGCTGTCTCAAATCTATATGTCCTTCTCTCCGTTTCCCTTTCCTTTTCTCCTATCTTTTCACATCCCTCGCCAGTGTGAGATTGCCATATTCACGGCAATGCTTCCCGCCTAATTCATTAGGTCCAACCCCCATGTCCCTCTCTCCGTGTCCCTTCCCGTGTCGCCTCTCTTTTCACACCCCTCGCAGCGTGAGATTGCCATATTGACGGCAATGCATCTCGACAGCTCCTTCAGTGACTTCTCCATCGAAGGGGCATTCAGCACCAAGTTCCTGGTGAGGGCATGAAGCAAGCATGAGGGCATGGATGGTATCTTGAGATCACCAAACACGCGGCAATGCATCTCCACAGCTACTTCAGTGACTTCTCCATCGAAGGCGCCTTCAGCACCAAGTTCCTGGTGAGTGATGTGGAGGGGAGATGGCGAGGGTACGCATGTAGAGAGGGCATGTAGAGAGGGCATGCAGACAGTATACGCTCCTCGACAGCTCCTTCAGTGACTTCTCCATTGAGGGCTCGTTCAGCACCAAATTCCTAGTGAGGGCATGAAGGGCTTGGGGAAGGGAGGGAGACGGTGAGGGCATGTAATGGGCGAGGGGAAGGGATGGTGAGGGAGTAACAACTCCAAGGGCCCTAATTTGATGTGACATCTGCTCTTGGTTCTAACCTATGTAGTTTGTATATGTGTCTCTAATGATATCCGTTGTAGTCTAGTCGGTTAGGATACTCGGCTCTCACCCGAGAGACACGGGTTCAAGTCCCGGCAACGGACAACCTTTTGAATGTTTCTGTGGAACCAATTCGGTGTGCAGTTAGATGAAACTCTGTCATAATAAGTGACTGAGCAACGGGAGTTTTTATTTCGTTCTTTCGCTAGGTATTGCTATGCCTTTCCCCTGTGCTGTCCCTCCAGCTCTCAAATCCGTTGCTTCAGATCCGCTGGCTCCTTGTTCGACTACAACTCGGCCCACAAGGAGGAACCAATACACCCCATTTTTGCAGATTGAATTTGAGTTTTTTTACAGACAACCTTGAGAATTCTCAAAAGCAACTGTGAGATTTTTATAGGTAAATTTGCTAAGAAATAACTTTTGAGAATTCTAAAATTCCGAATACAAACAAAAGGAGGACTCAAGAAACCCTCTTCTTCCACACCATTCCATGTAGTCTTGTTGTGCTGCTTCTCTTGCTCCCTTCCGTGCCCCTCACCCTTCCCATCACCTGCCCCTTTCGCCCCATTCCCACAACCCCTTCAGAACCACTACGCATTCAAGAAGGACCCAAGTAGCATCTTCCCGGGCTGTGCCTTGCTGCCCCCTGTTCCCCTTCCGTCTTCATACCCTTCCTTTCCTATCCCCTCAACCTTCAGAACCACTGGGCGTACAAGAAGGATCTGAGAAACCTCTTTCCCGGCTATGCCATGCTGCCCCCTGCTGCTGCCGTTGTGCCCCTTCCTCTCTCCTTACCCTTATTGCCCCCCGCGTCCCATACACCTCCACCCCACCCCTTCAGAACCACTGGGCGTACAAGAAGGACCCAAGAAACCTCTTTCCCGGCTATGCCATGCTGCCCCAGGCTGCCGCCTTTGCGCCCCGCCGCCCGCCTCGACGGGCGGCGGAGGAGGATGAGAGGGAGAGGGAGAGGGTGGTTCGGGCGGCGGACCTGATTGGTCGGCGCGTGCAGTACAGCAGCGTTGGCAACGTTGTGAACAGGAGAGCGGTGAGCATTGCTTGTTGGGGGAAGAATGGAGGAATTGAGGGAGCGGGAGAGGGTGGTGCGGGCGGCGGACCTGATTGGTGGGCGTGTGCAATACAGGAGATCAGTGAGCATTGGTTGTTCAGAGGGATGGGGGGCTTGGGGAATTAGACTTGGTGTTTAGGTGCGTGCAGTGTAATACGGTGGTGTTGGGAACATCGTGAATAGGAGAGCGATGAGTAATGGCTGTGGAGAGGGATGGAGGGTTTGAGGCAGTTGTTTGACTTGGTGTTTTGGTGCGTGCAGTGCAATACAGTGGTGTTCGCAACATTGTGTGAAGAGGAGAACGGTGAGTGATGGTGGTTTGGGGGAAGGGAGTATGAGGTCAGGTCAAGAGGGGAAGGTGGTTGGTTTTGGTGCGTGGTACATCAGTGTTGGCGCGACTGTGAGGAGCTGAAAAGGCAAAGAAACGAGAGGATAAAGTAGGTGGGCAGCAGAAGCCTGCAGGCATGGCAGCCCGTACATTCCTGCGCAACTCTCTTGACTCCTCGTCACCGCTCTTCACCTGCCATATAGCCCCCTTTTGCTTCTGTGTTTTCCCCAGCACAGGGCAGCAGGCATGACTGCTGGCTTTGATACAATCAGCACAGCCCCATTCACTCCTATGCAAACCTCCTCACTCTTCATTACCGCTCTTCACCCTTGCTGCCGTTTCCCAATCGGCAGCACAGGGCAGCGGGCATGGCAGCCCTAGAAGTGATGCAATCAGCACGCGCCCATTCACTCCTAAGCAAATCCTTTTACTCCTCGTCACCGCTCTTCACCTGCCATCACCCACCTTTCACCCTGTTGTTCTCCAACTGGCAGCACAGGGCGGCGGGCATGGCAGCACTAGAAGTGATGCAATCAGCACGCGCCCATTCACTCCTATGCAAATCCTTTTACTCCTCGTCACCGCTCTTCACCTGCCATCACCCACCTTTCACCCTCTTGTTCTCCAACTGGCAGCACAGGGCGACGGGCATGGCAGCCCTAGAAGTGATGCAATCAGCACGCGCCACGTGGCGGCGGTGGGCCCGGAGAAAGCAAAAGCATGGACTGACGGAGGGGAGGAGAGCTGCAGATCCAAGGAAAAGTGAAGAGGAGGAGGAGGAAGATGAGGAGGATGAGGAGGAGGAGGAGGATGATGATGAGGAGGAGGAGGAGGGGGTGGGGATGGTTGTGGATGGGTGGAGAGGGGTGTTTGGCATTGGTGCGAGGTGGAGGCAGCTGGTGGACCCATGCGAGCCCGTCTTGTGGATGGAGATGGTCAGGTGAGGTGCAGTGCGGTGCAGTGTGGTTGGGTATGAGTTGACGGTGATAGGATGTTGGGCGAGGTGGATGCAGCTGGTGGACCCATGCGAGCCAGTCGTGTAGATGGACAGGGTCAGGTGAGGTGCAGTGCGGTTTGAGGGGAGAGGAGTTGTGGTTGTGGTCCCTGGCGTGGGTGGAACGGATGGGTGGAGAGGGGTTTTTGGCTTTGGTGCGAGGTGGAGGCAGCTGGTGGACCCATGCGAGCCTGTGGTTTGGATGGAAACGCTCAGGTGCGGTGTGGTGTGGTGCGGTTGGGTTAAAGTTGAGGATGAGAGGCTCTGTAATAACAACCTTCCCACCCGCCATGTGCAGGAGCGCTGACCCCTCTCTAGTGGGCAACTCAATGACTCCCATCTCTGTGTTCCGCCAACTCACCCGCCAACACAACCAAATATGTCCTCTCCATCCCCTGCTCTGCCTCTCCATCCCCCGCTCTGCCTCTCCATCCCCCGCTCTGCCTCATTGAAACTCCACCACTCATTGCCACTCCTCACCACTCTTCGCCACTCTCTGCAAGCTCCCCTCCGCCCCTCAATGCCCCCCATTTTCATCACTTCCCCCTACCTCTCCCCCCCCATGTGCAGGAGCGTTGACCCCTCTCTGGTGGGTAACTCTGTGACTCCTATTTCTGTGTTCCGCCAACTCACCACCAAATATGCAGACTATTATAACAGGTATGCTGAGACTACTATAACAGGTATGCTGAGACTACTATAACAGGTATGCTGAGACTACTATAACAGGTATGCGGAGACTACTATAACAGGTATGCTGGGACTACTATAACGGGTGTGCTGAGACTACTATAGCAGGTATGCTGAGATGCAGTACTGTAACGAGTATGTTGGGATTCAGCTTTCTATACCACCTTCTGTCGGGTGCAAAGCATTTACTGCACTGCAGCACTGCACGAATCAGCACTGCACGAGTGAACAGGCTCTGGTCTTTCTGCTAAAAGGACTCCTCGCCACGAGTGAGTCAGCAGCATCATGTCTCTCTGTCTTACTGACCCTGTGAAACTCACTTACAGCTAGCTGTGACACATTCCTGCTCCCCTCTTCCCAATCAAAGCCCTCTCAGTCCCCAAGAGCATGACGGAGCAGCAGCAGCAGAACCATGTGCTCTCCAATATTCACCTCAAGCCTGTTCTCAAAACACACACGATGCAGCAGCAGAACCATGTGCTCTCCAAGCTCAGGACAACCAGTGCATTCACCGCATGCCTCCTGCTCGCAGCAAGCATCCACCACGCCTGCCCTCCCCCTCCCCATCCCCATCAGAACCCTCTCAGTCCTCAAGAGCATGATATGGTAGCAGCGCCATGTGTTCTCCAACATTCACCTCATGCCCGTTCGCTTTCTCCCATCCCCATCAGAACCCTCGCAGTCCTCAAGGGCATCATGCAGCAGCAGCACCATGTGTTCGCCAATGGGGACGACCAGCGCATTCCCCTTTCAGAGCGGGATTGCGCCAGGGTGAGTGACGAATGGATCAAGGCGTGCTTTCTGAGCAGTATCAAACACACCCGCATGCTGCAGCAGCAGCACCATGTGCTGAGTCGTGGTGTAGGGTGCTTCTGACAGCTCCTTCGAGCGCCATGTGTTCTCCAACATGGATGACCATCGCATTCCCCTCTCAGAGAGGGAAGTCGCTAGGGTGAGTGATGAATGGAGGTCCTTTATGGTGCACGCAGTGTGTTTCTGACACCTCCTCCCAGCACCATGTGTGGTAACCACCAAATGTTGGTAGGGAGCCATGGGTGAGCCATGGATAGGGGGGTCTCTTATATTGTCTCCGCACATTCACCGCTCACAGGGAGATGTTGGCAGGTGAGGAGAGTGGATGGAAAATGTAGTCCTTTTTGTTGCAAGAAGGTTGTTTCTTTCTGCGAGCTCCCAGCAGTATGTGTTCTCTGAAATCAAGCATTGCATTTCCCTCTCAGAGAGGGATTTCGCCAGGTTGACTGAATGAAACATCGATCCACATTCATGATGCTCTTTTGACAGCATCCTTTTGTCGACACCCTTTTTCTGTTTGTACATTCATGACGGAACGGCATTGTACGGCTGACCATGCCATTCCTCCATCCGTGCCATTCCTCCATCCGTGCCATTCCTCCATCCGTGCCATTCCTCCATCCGTGCCATTCCTCCATCCGTGCCATTCCTCCATCCGTGCCCTTCCTCCATCCGTGCCATTCCTCCATCCGTGCCATTCCTCCATCCGTGCCATTCCTCCATCCGTGCCATTCCTCCATCCGTGCCATTCCTCCATCCGTGCCATTCCTCCATCCGTGCCATTCCTCCATCCGTGCCATTCCTCCATCCGTGCCATTCCTCCATCCGTGCCATTCCTCCATCCGTGCCATTCCTCCATCCGTGCATTCCTCCATCCGTGCCCTTCCTCCATCCGTGCCATTCCTCCATCCGTGCCATTCCTCCATCCGTGCCATTCTCCATCCGGCCATTCCTCCATCCGTGCCATTCCTCCATCCGTGCCATTCCTCCATCCGTGCCATTCCTCCATCCGTGCCATTCCTCCATCCGTGCCATTCCTCCATCCGTGCCATTCCTCCATCCGTGCCATCCGTGCCTTCCTCCATCCGTGCCATTCCTCCATCCGTGCCATTCCTCCATCCGTGCCATTCCTCCATCCGTGCCATTCCTCCATCCGTGCCATTCCTCCATCCGTGCCATTCCTCCATCCGTGCCATTCCTCCATCCGTGCCATTCCTCCATCCGTGCCATTCCTCCATCCGTGCCATTCCTCCATCCGTGCCATTCCTCCATCCGTGCCATTCCTCCATCCGTGCCATTCCTCCATCCGTGCCATTCCTCCATCCGTGCCATTCCTCCATCCGTGCCATTCCTCCATCCGTGCCATTCCTCCATCCGTGCCATTCCTCCATCCGTGCCATTCCTCCATCCGTGCCATTCCTCCATCCGTGCCATTCCTCCATCCGTGCCATTCCTCCATCCGTGCCATTCCTCCATCCGTGCCATTCCTCCATCCGTGCCATTCCTCCATCCGTGCCATTCCTCCATCCGTGCCATTCCTCCATCCGTGCCATTCCTCCATCCGTGCCATTCCTCCATCCGTGCCATTCCTCCATCCGTGCCATTCCTCCATCCGTGCCATTCCTCCATCCGTGCCATTCCTCCATCCGTGCCATTCCTCCATCCGTGCCATTCCTCCATCCGTGCCATTCCTCCATCCCGTGCCATTCCTCCATCCGTGCCATTCCTCCATCCGTGCCATTCCTCCATCCGTGCCATTCCTCCATCCGTGCCTCCTAAGGCATTCCTCCATCCGTGCCATTCCTCCATCCTGCCATTCCTCATCCGTGCCCTTCCTCCACTTCCCTTCCCCATCCGTGCCATTCCTCCATCCGTGCCATTCCTCCATCCGTGCCATTCCTCCATCCGTGCCATTCCTCCATCCGTGCCATTCCTCCATCCGTGCCATTCCTCCATCCGTGCCATTCCTCCATCCGTGCCCTTCCTCCATCCGTGCCATTCCTCCATCCGTGCCATTCCTCCATCCGTGCCATTCCTCCATCCGTGCCATTCCTCCATCCGTGCCATTCCTCCATCCGTGCCATTCCTCCATCCGTGCCATTCCTCCATCCGTGCCATTCCTCCATCCGTGCCATTCCTCCATCCGTGCCATTCTCCATCCGTGCCATTCCTCCATCCGTGCCATTCCTCCATCCGTGCCATTCCTCCATCCGTGCCATTCCTCCATCCGTGCCATTCCTCCATCCGTGCCATTCCCTCCATCCGTGCCATTCCTCCATCCGTGCCATTCCTCCATCCGTGCCATTCCTCCATCCGTGCCATTCCTCCATCCGTTGCCATTCCTCCATCCGTTGCCATTCCTCCATCCGTGCCATTCCTCCATCCGTGCCATTCCTCCATCCGTGCCATTCCTCCATCCGTGCCATTCCTCATCCGTGCCATTCCTCCCATCCGTGCCATTCCTCCATCCGTGCCATTCCTCCATCCGTGCCATTCCTCCATCCGTGCCATTCCTCCATCCGTGGCCATTCCTCCATCCGTGCCATTCCTCCATCCGTGCCATTCCTCCATCCGTGCCATTCCTCCATCCGTTGCCATTCCTCCATCCGTGCCATTCCTCCATCCGTGCCATTCCTCCAATCCGTGCCATTCCTCCATCCGTGCCATTCCTCCATCCGTGCCATTCCTCCATCCGTGCCATTCCTCCATCCGTGCCATTCCTCCATCCGTGCCATTCCTCCATCCGTGCCATTCCTCCATCCGTGCCATTCCTCCATCCGTGCCATTCCTCCATCCGTGCCATTCCTCCATCCGTGCCATTCCTCCATCCGTGCCATTCCTCCATCCGTGCCATTCCTCCATCCGTGCCATTCCTCCATCCGTGCCATTCCTCCATCCGTGCCATTCCTCCATCCGTGCCATTCCTCCATCCGTGCCATTCCTCCATCCGTGCCATTCCTCCATCCGTGCCATTCCTCCATCCGTGCCATTCCTCCATCCGTGCCATTCCTCCATCCGTGCCATTCCTCCATCCGTGCCATTCCTCCATCCGTGCCATTCCTCCATCCGTGCCATTCCTCCATCCGTGCCATTCCTCCATCCGTGCCATTCCTCCATCCGTGCCATTCCTCCATCCGTGCCATTCCTCCATCCGTGCCATTCCTCCATCCGTGCCATTCCTCCATCCGTGCCATTCCTCCATCCGTGCCATTCCTCCATCCGTGCCATTCCTCCATCCGTGCCATTCCTCCATCCGTGCCATTCCTCCATCCGTGCCATTCCTCCATCCGTGCCATTCCTCCATCCGTGCCATTCCTCCATCCGTGCCATTCCTCCATCCGTGCCATTCCTCCATCCGTGCCATTCCTCCATCCGTGCCATTCCTCCATCCGTGCCATTCCTCCATCCGTGCCATTCCTCCATCCGTGCCATTCCTCCATCCGTGCCATTCCTCCATCCGTGCCATTCCTCCATCCGTGCCATTCCTCCATCCGTGCCATTCCTCCATCCGTGCCATTCCTCCATCCGTGCCATTCCTCCATCCGTGCCATTCCTCCATCCGTGCCATTCCTCCATCCGTGCCATTCCTCCATCCGTGCCATTCCTCCATCCGTGCCATTCCTCCATCCGTGCCATTCCTCCATCCGTGCCATTCCTCCATCCGTGCCATTCCTCCATCCGTGCCATTCCTCCATCCGTGCCATTCCTCCATCCGTGCCATTCCTCCATCCGTGCCATTCCTCCATCCGTGCCATTCCTCCATCCGTGCCATTCCTCCATCCGTGCCATTCCTCCATCCGTGCCATTCCTCCATCCGTGCCATTCCTCCATCCGTGCCATTCCTCCATCCGTGCCATTCCTCCATCCGTGCCATTCCTCCATCCGTGCCATTCCTCCATCCGTGCCATTCCTCCATCCGTGCCATTCCTCCATCCGTGCCATTCCTCCATCCGTGCCATTCCTCCATCCGTGCCATTCCTCCATCCGTGCCATTCCTCCATCCGTGCCATTCCTCCATCCGTGCCATTCCTCCATCCGTGCCATTCCTCCATCCGTGCCATTCCTCCATCCGTGCCATTCCTCCATCCGTGCCATTCCTCCATCCGTGCCATTCCTCCATCCGTGCCATTCCTCCATCCGTGCCATTCCTCCATCCGTGCCATTCCTCCATCCGTGCCATTCCTCCATCCGTGCCATTCCTCCATCCGTGCCATTCCTCCATCCGTGCCATTCCTCCATCCGTGCCATTCCTCCATCCGTGCCATTCCTCCATCCGTGCCATTCCTCCATCCGTGCCATTCCTCCATCCGTGCCATTCCTCCATCCGTGCCATTCCTCCATCCGTGCCATTCCTCCATCCGTGCCATTCCTCCATCCGTGCCATTCCTCCATCCGTGCCATTCCTCCATCCGTGCCATTCCTCCATCCGTGCCATTCCTCCATCCGTGCCATTCCTCCATCCGTGCCATTCCTCCATCCGTGCCATTCCTCCATCCGTGCCATTCCTCCATCCGTGCCATTCCTCCATCCGTGCCATTCCTCCATCCGTGCCATTCCTCCATCCGTGCCATTCCTCCATCCGTGCCATTCCTCCATCCGTGCCATTCCTCCATCCGTGCCATTCCTCCATCCGTGCCATTCCTCCATCCGTGCCATTCCTCCATCCGTGCCATTCCTCCATCCGTGCCATTCCTCCATCCGTGCCATTCCTCCATCCGTGCCATTCCTCCATCCGTGCATTCCTCCATCCGTGCCATTCCTCCATCCGTGCCATTCCTCCATCCGTGCCATTCCTCCATCCGTGCCATTCCTCCATCCGTGCCATTTCCATCCCATCGTGCCATTCCTCCATCCGTGCCATTCCTCCATCCGTGCCATTCTCCATCCGTGCCATTCCTCCATCCGTGCCATTCCTCCATCCGTGCCATTCCCTCCCATCCCGTGCCATTCCTCCATCC